TTTTTATCTGCAAGCTATTTTCCACATGCAGCTCAGCAGAGAAACTGGAGGTATGCTTGAGACAAACACCAAGTCAAAGGCTGGCAAAAAATAGACCAAACAGGAGCTAATCCTGCTGCAAGGCAGGCGGCAAAAGGCAGCTCTACAGTTCATGGCATAGGAATACCATTACATGGCTTTAGGGAGGAAACCACTGGAGAGGCTTTGAAGAAACTGGCATGGTCAAATTACAATTCCACCTAGTTTGCAACATGCAAGCACAGGTTTTTACCAGTACAGGGGAAAAGCAGTTTGGACAATTAAATTCAGCAGATATATTGAGGTAACTGTAGTTTCCTGGCTTACAGGTTCAACATGGGGAGGGGAATTTTTGAGTGAAGATCCTCAGGTAGTTTGTGAATACATTGTGCACTATGACAAAGCTGCTTCTCAGGGCTCACTAACTCCTTGCTGTACTACTGGTGAACATATTCTATGGCAAAGGCCTTCATTTGAGATGGTGTGAAGGGGAGCTTACCCACGCACTGCTGCTTTTCCAAGTAGTTAGGAGGAGGAATGTCTCACTGACTGAACTACAGGAATAATTGAATGTTTTAGGAAGAGGATTGTTGTTCTGATTCCATGTGCATCTCAAATTCATGACTCCATAAACTGTGAACAATTCAACCTGTATGAGGGCCTGTAAAGCCCCCAGAGTATGAGCAGGAGGACTTGCATGGATGAAGCTCTCTGTTAACTCCTTTTTCACCCTCTGTTGCTGCAGATTTTGAATTGACTGAACCAGATCTGCAGGTTCTAACCTTTTCCAGCAACAGCATCACAAAGGAGTGATAGCAAGCTGAGCTATGGATACCAAGCCAAGGACTCACCATATGGTGTTTTTGTAACACACAAGGGGAAAGGTTGCTTTAAAGACCAAGGGCCGAATTCATCCCTGGCATAAGACTACTAAATTCAGTGGTGTTAGATCAAGCATAAAGTCAACAGCACACTAATTCTATGTGATGGGGAACAGAAGTCAAGGTTGTTTTTTTAATAGCCCAAGGATGTCTATAAGGTAAACTCAGTTGAGCCAAGGGTTTTTTTATGTCTAGCTGACATCTGTTCTCAGAAAGCCTGCAGCACACTGGAATGGTTTCTCAATGTTTTTCCTCTCTATAAACACTGTGAACTTCTGTAACATCCAGAGATGGTGAAAAGGCATGTTTCATACAAAAATGGGCACCACAAATGACCTAGGAGATATTATACCCTGCTTTAGTGATTCTATATTCAAGAAAGAAGTACAAGAAAACTTTCCAAAAGGCAGTTGTTAATAGTTCTTGAAATGCATTGACACATGACAGCAGATGAATTTTAGCCACTGTTATCACCATGCACATTAAAGAAATTAGACTGGTGAAAATACACTGTGAGATAACCAAACTACTGACAGTCTAAGACCCTATTTTACATTTTTCAGAGCATTTGATGTGCAGATCAATTAAAGGGCTCATTTCAAGTCATCTTCAACTAGCACAGCAGCTCTGACATGCAGAAGCCCCATAATGCAGACATTCAGTAAAGTGCACATTGCTACACTTTTATCTTTACAGCATGTTATCTCATTTTTACAGGGAGACGTTACCAGAATGAATTGGTTGAAATGCAAAAAGTAATTGAGGTACCTGGCTTTTCAACTTCATGAGCTATTAAATAGATGGGGAAAAAATTGGTTGTTAACAGAAGTCAGGTTGTCTAACCTGTCTGCTGCTGTGGGTTAACTTTGCAATACCTGAGAGAGATTTTAGAGGATATTTTTGAAGCCTAGGATAATGGCTGGTGAAGTTGGACTCAAGGTAATGTAAATCAGCACTTATTTAACAAGACAGTTAACAACTATAAATCCAAAATAAATATAGCAGGAATCAGGCCAAATATATATTTTCATACAGCAGGAGATATTACATAGGTATTTTAGAACTGAATTCAAGCAGGAAAGTGAGAAGAAAAATAATGTGGCTAAACTTCCTACAATATCAATAAGACCCACCTGCAGAATCAATTTTTAATTGACAAAGCAAAGACAGCTGCAATACACGTTTCAAGAAGTATGGGTTGTCTCATGACTCATGACTCTGGCTGTTGTGAAGTGGCAGAGTGAGTACACAAACCTGAGAGATGAGTTTACAAAATGATCACTCTCATAGGGTCCTGTGGGAGACCAAAACTCATCCTCGTGGATATAAATTATTCATGCCTTACCTATATTATTGATTCTGGTCGTAAACTCAGCGTAACCAGAAAAGAGCACTGACTGAGAAGAGAAAGGGGATACCCTTAAGATGAAGTCTGGTAGAGCAGGGCATGCTGCTACTATAAGGAGTGAGGCCAAAGGATGCCAGCAGGAAGACAGTTCATAAAAAAAACCTGACATTTTGCTGGGAAAATGTGAAATTCAAAAGCATTTTTGCTGTTAGTGCTTACTTTGCAACTACCAGGGATTTTTTATACCCAACTTCTGGCTGACAACCCATGGCAAGAAGCAATAGTAGAGCTGCCTTTCTCTGAACCTAGCAGTCTCCTAACACCCTCTTTCTTGCCAAGTGAAATATGAGTATTGATAGTTCAGCTATAGGTTGCTTGATCCTCTGGAGTTCCATTGCTCCCATCTGCCACTGTAGAAGCCCCCCACACCGTCCCTTCCCATTTTCCTGGACCTGCTTTTTTTTTCTCACAAGCTCCCCTCCAGAAGGTGGCTGTGACTCCCAGTTACTGGACCTGCTTGACTGGCATCCACAGGCCACCTTTCTCAACTCCACCATTCACTCAAAAATGACAGGAAGCATCCCTTATATCCTAGATTTCTTAAGTGTTTAGCAGATACTTTTACCCATCAGGGAATACCTGTGAGGTGCAGGACCCAGGCAGGCCATGCCATATTGCCAGTTGAGACTGAGAAGAAGCTGCTGCAGGAGACTTGTACTGACAGCCTTGGTATCTGTTTGCAGGCTTTTTGCCTGGGCAGAATTTGTGGTGATAAGTCCATATTTTGTCTCAATATCAAATGATTTTTATCAGACTCTGGCACTTTGCCCAAGTGCTCTTTGGCCAGATACCCTAACAAGTATGTCTGTGCCCAGAAACTCTTCCAGTCTTGCATTCAGTTTGCAGACTGTATGTTCACAGTTGAAATATTATTATTGAGAGGTAATTAATACATTTAGGTACCTAGGTACATTTAGGTACCTAAACCCACTATAAATAAAGATATTTAAATAGATAGACATCTTTCACACTCAAGGACTTGGATAACCCTCCTCTCCTGTTTGAGCTCATGAACACTGTGCTTCTCTTGAACCTGCAACATATAAGATTGCAAGAAGCAAAGTCAGACAGATGTATCAGAGGCAGTTCTCTTTGCCAGAGTCTATCCCAGTTCTTTTCTGTATATTTTTCTTCCAGATATGTTATTTTTCTCTAGGAAATATACTTTTTTTTCTGCCTAGTTTTACTTTTGAATATTTTCCAGTTTCTGGGTGTTTCTGTTATGCCCTTTTCCTCCTGTTCTTCCCATTAGTATGTTTTCTATGTATTCTCTATATCTTAAAGGTATTAGAGTTGCTGATAAATCATTGCAGGTAAAGAATGCAAGAGTATCTAAACAGGAGAGCTGAGAGCATGGAAAGAGGGGGAAAGAGGAAATCAAGCAAAGCGTTTGGGATGGTCGATCAAATAAAAAAGTTATTCTGCTTCCTCGATAGCATCCTCTGAGACATAAAAAAGAATAGAAAACTGTAGAAAAATTCTATGCAGACTTACAGACACGAAACCGTTACATATCAAAGGAAATATTTTCATAGCCTACAAGTGGAAGGAGTTGCACAATGCACAGTACTAAAGACTATGACTAGGGATCCACTCCATCTCTCTTGAGAATGCATCACTAGCAATTTGAGAACACTTTTTCTTTCTAGCTGCCAGTGACTTGTTTTAATGACTAAGTATGCACTGAAATAAATAAACAGAATTGCTCCTAGGCAACATTCATAAATCTTCAAGGCTGAGGTATGGCTAACTAATCCCCATAAAATAAATCTGGACATTTCCTAGGTCAAGCAAGGGCTGCATCTGTATCTCATCTTCATTTTTCACAGTATCTCAAAACTGTACTCATGGAAGATTTTTTCCAGGAAAACTTTTTCATGGCAGAAATCCAGTGACAGTTGTTATGAAAGATACAAAAGTGCAAGGTGTTTTGAAGGAATTTCTTGCTAAATGTGAAGAATATTAATATATTTTAATTTGTGGAGTCACCATGCATCCTACTCCAACTAATCTTTGATTTGATTCAGGACTGCAGAGGCTGAACAGCCCATGCAGATTTCATACATTTGGTAATACTACAGAATATCTTTCCCATAATTACAGAATCACAGAATCACTAGGCTGGAAGAGATCATCGAGTCCAACCCATGCCTTAATGCCTCAACTAGACCATGGCACCAAGTGCCACATCCATTCTCTGTTTAAACACATCCAGGGATGGTGACTCCACCACCTCTCCTGGCAGACCATTCCAGTACTTTATCACACTTTCTGTAAAATCTTTTTCCTAACATCAACCTATATTTCCCTTGGTCCAGCTTAAGGCTGTGTCCTCTGGTTCTGTCAGTTTCTGTCTGCTGAAAGAGACCGACCCCCACCTGACCACAATCACCTTTCAGGAAGTTGCAGAGAGTGATAAGGTCACCTCTGATCTCCTTTTCTCCAGGCTAAACACCCCCAGCTCCCTCAGATTTGTGCCACACCCTCAGAGCTGTGCCACACCCTCAGAGCTGTGCCACACCCTCGGAGATGTGCCACACCCTCGGAGATGTGCCATGCCCTCAGAGTTGTGCCACACCCTGTTTGCCTGCTCCTGATTCAGTCCTGTTTGCCCTGCTCTGGGTCCCCACGCTCCCTAGAGGCCTCTTTTAATCACCCCACGGCTCGCCAGAGGAGAGCCCTGCCCTACATTAACCCTGTGTGGTTAATGAGGAAAAAAAAAATTCTCGACACTTGTGCCTGTTTGTCTCCATGGAAATTTTTAGTAAAAGGCAAAAGATTTATACAATCTGAAGAGAAACCAGAGTATTAATTAAAGTAAGTGTTTCCTGTTGAAGCCGGAACATGAGGACTATGAGTTTACAATAGCATTATATTTTTAAGACAGCATCTGTATATAGAAAAATGTAGAAACAGATTTAAAAATTGAATGAAGAGTTGTCATCACCCTACACATGAAGCTTGGGAGTCACCTTTTCACATACCTCTTTCTTTCACCATGAATCCTCTGATCCAGATTCAGCCATTTGGGGAATCTGGAAGAAGTGAAATTTGTAGAACATTCACTTCAGTCTGAAGAGAGGTTATCAGTTAGGGTGGAAAATGTGTATACCTCTATGCTTTCTAGCAATGGGTAGCTGCCATATCTGCTTCTTCTACTTTTAGAGTGCAATATATGGTCATGGTTTAAGCACCTCTTTCTTGCAATTTTTTTTTAATTCTGGAGTTTAAAAGCAATCTAGTATTAAGGTGCAACCTCTACTGTGCATGTGTTGGCCCATATGAAAGGATTGTTTATGTACCTAGAAATTTCTTTGTGTTTAAATATGTGATTTGCCTGTTTTATTGTTTATCATGTCTGCTTCTGATTCCCATCTTAGTGTATGCCACTCTAACAATTATGCTTTTTATATACATATTTTTTTTTTACTAAGCCCATTTTAATTCACTGAGGAAATTGTATTCAGTAATAATAACTGAATAAATGTCATCTTGATTTGTCCTTATCAGTGAGAGAGGTTAAGACATAGACATTTTATCAGTCCATGATTAAGCTGTGAGCATTCTGTTTAATTCAGCTTGTTTCAACTACTGACAAACCCCTTGCAGACAAACACCTCATTCTTGATTATTTAAAGAAAACACATTTACTGTGAGGCCATTATTTGGCATCCAGTTGTGCTGGTTTTGGCTGAGGTAGAGTAAATTTTCTTCACAGTGGCTAGTATGCTCTGCCTACAGCCAATTTAAGACAGAAGTGTCTGTGTCCATTTACACTTCCTAGATGTACAAACTATGGAATGGTGCTATTGTGACCAAATGTCTTGAAAATGAATGAAAAAGGCCGTGGAGTCAGATATCTTCATAGCTAACTGAGAAACTGAATTTTTTCATAGATTTATGTCTACTGATTGTCATTGGTACTGGAGCATTTAATCATGACCTAAATCTTTTTAGCTTCTTAGCTCTGGCTAGAGAATGAATTTACATTACCAAGAGATAATAAAAAAAAAAAAAAAAAAAAAAAAAAAAAAAAAAAAAAAAAAAAAAAAAAAAATAAAACAAAAAAATAACAATGGAATTAATGTACTATACTCAGGTGCAAATTAGTGCAATATATGTACCTTCAACAAAGTCTATTTTGTCCTTTGCATAATTGCTTTTGCTTCTGTATTCTATATAATAAACTAGGTGCTAGATGATGAAAAATAAGTGGCACACATTTACACATGCTATTTCTGTTCTCTGGTTATTGTTTAAAAAGTGGAAAATGTTCTGCTTCAAGAGGTTATGCCAGTTAAAATGGCATTTCTTTAAATGGAAATCTGAAAGAAAAAGCAACATAAATATATTTCTGGAAGAAGGAAAGAAATCTTTTCTTCAGTCTTTGCTTAGTTTGTTTTAAATATAGCTGTGGCTGCTCAGAGTTTTGTTCTACATGAGGGCTGATTTTTGGAAAATAATTATGGCTTTTTTGCTTTTTATATTCCTTTTTTTTTGTCTTCAGTCTTTGTATTGGAAAACATGCATATGATCAAATGTGCATGGAAGTGTTACCTAGATGAGTTCACATTATAAAAATAACCCAACCCAACATTTATTACAGTATTATCAAACCCAGCTATGCTTAGATTCAGGCAAATTGTGCACCATTCAACATCATAGTCTACCTTAAACTGCACCTTTTTTTTCTGTTAATTCGTATTTGAATAATTTTTGTTGTTATTTCAATACCAGTTATGAAAGCTGCCTCCATTAACACTGTTTTTCAGTGTTATCTGCATTTTCATTTTCTGTTTTCTTTCTACATTGAACAGTTTGTATGTCTTTATAACCCTACAGTGTTTACTGCAAATTATGTCTCTTCTCTCATACTCTTATAAGTCACAAATTTCCTGAAGTTTTTTCTTCTTGAAAGACTGCAGTGTATCAAAGAACATCTCTATATTGGGAAAAGACATCTCCCTAATATATTTGTTAGCAAAAGCACCGTTTCTATCTATATCCAATAAAGTTTGTATGACTGAAAAGATGCTTTAAAAATATTATTTTAAGTACTTCAATAATCACACTTGTGTTGTCTTCATTGAAAATAGTACTTCAGTTCCTATGTCCCATTAGACTGATGAAATAAAAATTGGAAGACAAAGTAAATACTGTTGTAGCTACTTATCTCTCAGAGAAAATAGTTTAGAAAACAATAATTGTAGAATGGTAAGCACTGGAAGTGACCATAAATACTATCTTGTTCTATTTATCACTAGACCAGGTTACCCAGAGGCCGATCCAACCTGGCCTTGGATGCCTCCAGAAAAGATTCAATAGAACTGTAAAGCTTCTGTTTCTCCTGATCCTCCCTTAGAACCAGACAGAAAACAAACCTTTTTGAAATGAGAGCCAGCAAATCGACATTTTCTGTATGGCCTCTAGAGTTTATAGAATATCTACTTTTAGATACCTGGCCAATGAGAGTTAAGGTGGTATAGAACCCTGAGCACTTTGGGAGAAATATCTAGAAATGAAAATTGACATTTCAAAAGTGAGGTACAAAGCAAGACTATTAAGGAACACCAGAGATAGGATCAGCAGTGTAGACAGATGTAACAGTCTCAATGGTATATTTTGGATAAACACTTCCAATTGTGTCAGGCTTATCACTAGCTAACATGCTATTAAAGCATTGCATGGAGAAACTACTGATTCCAGCAAGTCATCTAAATTGCACTCAGACAAGATGGTTTTCTTGCTCCTTGCAGAAGTCTTGTTTGACTTATATGATTTAATGTCGTTTTTTTCACTGATTTGGAACCACATACCAAATTACATAATAATCTATTGAACAACTTTCTGTGTGATATTGTGCTCAAGTCTAAACAGGCTACTATGCAGACATTCTGTCCATCAGCAACAAAAATGGGTGAACAATTTGAGAAAGACAAAAGCTGGCTGAAACAAAAACCAAAAATTTCAGGAACACACAGAATTTCTAGTAATCAAAAGTGCTTTTTAGGTATAGGAAACTACAACAATCCTAGAGAAGAGCTGAGTACACAGAGTTGGTCTGGAACTGGTATCTTACTTTCACCTTTACTACCAAGTATATATTATCTTATATTTCCAGAACAGATTGGTTTGTGCTGCAGATCAATCCTGCTATTCACTGAAAATAAATGTAGACATGTACAGAATAATTTATTCTTCAGCACATAATATTCTCACAGCACTTCAGCTGCCCTAGCAAGTGGCTGAACCAACAGTGATGACAGGACCATAAAGTTTGTCATATATAATATCCATGGCACTGCTCAAAAAAACCTCTTGCCAGAAGCAGTTTGCTTGACAATCCTGGCATTATAGGATGCCAAGAAAGTCAGCTAACAACACAGCCAAGTGTCTTTGGTTGCTAATGCCCATTTCACACAGGGTAAAACTTCTCAGCTGCCCACTACTCTGCAAAGCTTGAATTCTGTCAGTAAGTCTATTCTTTAAATCTCATACATCTCACAGCAGTTGAAGTTGTTAATTTCTGACAAATTTTCTTACAATTTTTTCCAATAATTGTACTATATATCACTTGTATATAAATCTATGAAAGGTTGATGAATCATGAAGAAAAGTCCTGCAGAGAGATGGTACAGTGACTTTAATACTACAGATTGTGTGCACCTGTTTGTATGATTTAGATTTTCAAATAAAAGTTAATTTTTCCAGCATCAGTTTGCCCCTGTTGTGACACATTTGTTGCAAATTGGTTTGCTTTGTGGAGTTTTTATGCAAACCCAAACCCATGGTTTTCACCAAGCCTACTGCTGCTTATCTTTCTGAATCATTTCAAAGAATGCCATGTAATTAATTTTTTAATCCTATTGAAACTGCACAGTAAATTTTTTTTTAAATATTTTCATCTTTATTTCCTGCTGTCTCAACAAACATCTTAATAAAAATATGTTTCAAATATCTCTGCATCTTTCTCACTTGCTTTCTTCTCATACCTCTGTGTTCTGCAGATCTAGTTTACTCTTTCTACCACTGTCACAGGATATTTTTCAAAAGATAGTAAAAAATTTTGCCTGTAGTATTCCAAATACATGGTCTTAGTTTTATATGACATTATATCTCTTTTACGTCCTTCTTCTAAGTGACATGAAGTGAAAGGGTCTCATCAGGTCCTCATTTACTTATGAATGCAGTCTAAATCATGTAATCCTTGGCAAATTGCTGAGCCCAAGATTAAGCTCAGCAAGACTCTGTCTGCAATGGGAATTTGAAAAGTACAAGCCAGACATCTCCAGACATGCACTGTAAAAATCTTCATCAACATAAAATTTACATATCTGCTGAATAAAACTCCCTGCCTGCCTCACATCAGGTGTTGGGATGCTGCTGTCATGAACAAGTGCACAGATGAAGGGTCTTGGAGAGAAGCAGAGTAAGAAATGTTTTAAATTAAGTTTTACACAGAAGTCTCGTTTTCTTCTTTCACTAAAGGAGATGCTGGTAGTGTCCATATGCTATCATCCACCTTTCTGTTACATAAGCTTAAGCACGTGACCATTCCATATCTATAGATAAATAGATACATCTATTTTTATATAATATAAATCTATAAAAATAAAAAATGAGAGTGCATGAACATTGTTTTTATAGCATACTCTAGCAATTATGTCAAGGAATGTGAATTTACTAAGCAGTATCTGTCACAGAACCACACAGTTTCAGACTGGTTGAGGTTTGAATGGGCTCTCATAAATCATCTGGTAAAACACATGAAGTTACAGGCAGGATCAGCTAGAGCGGGGGGGGGCACAT